ACTGAGTGGTAGCATAGTCAGGACCGCATTTTACCAGCTTCTTTACAAGAATATCATGGGGCACCTTGTCAAATGCCTTGCTGAAATCAAGGTAGGCTACATCCACTGCGTTCCCTTCATCTACCAGGCTTGTAATTCTGTCAAAAAAATGAGATCAGGTTAGTCTGACATGACTTATTTTTCAGAAATCCATGCTGACTATTGGTGATCACAGCATTCCTTTCTAGGTGTTCACAGACTGTTTGCTTAATGATCTGCTCCAGAATCTTCCCTGGTATTGATGTCAGACTGACTGGGCGGTAATTATTTGGGTCCTCTCTTTTCCCCTTTTTGAAAATAGGGACAACATTTGCCCTCCTCCAGTCTGCCGGGACTTCACCTGTTCTCCAGGAATTCTCAAAGATGACTGCCAGTGGTTCTGAGATCACATCTGCCAGTTCTTTTAATACTCTTGGATGCAGTTCATCTGGCCCTGGAGACTTGAATACATCTAAACTAGCCAAGTATTCTTGTACTATCTCCTTAGTTATTCTGGGCTGTGTTTCCATGAATACAATAATTCATCAAACATTAAAAACTTCCCAAAACAGGGCTGCCTACAGATGTCTTCTAAAAGTCAAATAGTTGTTTATTCCCTTGACATCTGATGGGAGGGTGTTCCACAGGGCGGGCGCCACTACCAAGAAGGCCCTCTGCCTGGTTCCCTGTAACCTCACTTCTCACAGGGAGGGAACCGCCAGAAGGCCCTCGGCTCTGGACCTCAGTGTCCGGGCAGAATGATGGTGTCTGCTCTATACCCAGAGATCTCAGGGCAGTTCACAAAATAAAATAAAAATATAAAACCACAAAATACATAATCAAAATAAAAACAACAACTCAATACCCCCTCTCTCCCAAAACCCACATATTAAAAGGGCAAAGGACATCAACCAAACGAACCAAAGGCCTGGTTAAAAAGTAAAGTTTTTGCCTGGTGGGTAAAGGTGCATATTGAAGGCGCCAGGTGAACTTCCCCTGGGAGAGCATTCCACATACAGGGAGCCACTGCAGAGAAGGCCCCGTTCTCATGTTGCCACCCTCCAGACCTCTCAAAAGTAGCACTTTGAATACTGATGCTTGGAAAAGTATGGATCCAAACATATAACATGGATTTTATTTTGTCTTCACAAGTTAGCTGTTTGTTTCTAGAGCCAAGTCAAAGAGGGGTCAAGAGGTCTCTGTTGCAGCACACTGTTAAACTATGGAGCTTGCAAACGCAGGAAGAAGTGATGGCCACAAACTTCCATGGCTTTGAAAGAGGATTGGCCAAATTCATGAAGAACAGGTCTGTTATTAGCCACAGTGGGTATGTTCTACTTCCACTAATGAAGACAGTATGCTGCTGGATCCTAGTTGCTGGAAACAGGGCCGTATTTACCCTGGGGTGCAAGGGGTGCGGGACACCCGGGCACCAAATTCTGGGGGGTGCCCGGCACCCGGCGCTGAAGCCGCCCAAGCTCTCAACTATCTGCCCCAGGGGTAGGCAACTTAAGGCCCGTGGGCCGGATGCAGCCCAATCACCTTCTCAATCCGGCCCATGGATGGTCCGGGAATCAGTGTGTTTTTACATGAATAGAATGTGTCGATTTAAAATGCATCTCTGGGTTATTTGTGGGGCATAGGAATTTGTTCATTTTCCCCCTACAAAATATAGTCCGGCCCACCACATGGTCTGAGGGATGGTGGACTGGCCCATGGCCAAAAAAGGTTGCTGACCCCTGATCTACCTGTTATGAAATAATAAATAATTTTGATCAAGCTAGAAAAACAATGGTACCTCAGGTTACAGACGCTTCAGGTTATAGACACTTCAGGTTACAGACTCTGCGAACCCAGAAGTAATACCTCGGGTTAAGAATCAAAGAACCAAAAAGTTGGAAGAGACCACAAGGGCCATCGAGTCCAACCCCCTGCCAAGAACTTTGCTTCAGGATGAGAACAGAAATCGTGTGGCAGCGGTGCAGTGGTAGCGGGAGTCCCCATTAGCTAAAGTGGTACCTCAGGTTAAGAACAGTTTCAGGTTAAGAACAGACCTCCAGAACGAATTAAGTTCTTAACCCGAGGTACCACTGTATACCTAGGTATTACTGAAATGTATATCTGCTGTTTCACTAAAGGACTTCTGACTTTGTGCGCTCATTTACCAAAGACACGCCGTGCTAGCGGTGGCGCTTGTCATTCACAATGGCGGCGCTTGACTCAACGGCGGTGCTTGTCATTCTCAATGGTGAGTTTGAATCCCCACAACGGGGTGAGCTCCTGTTGCTCAGTCCCTGCTCCTACCAACCTAGCAGTTTGAAAGCATGTCAAAGTGCAAGTAAATAAATAGGTACCACTCCGGTGGGAAGGTAAACGGCGTTTCCGTGTGCTACTCTGGTTCACCAGAAGCGGCTTAGTCATGCTGGCCACATGACCCGGAAGCTGTACGTCGGCTCCCTCGGCCAATAAAGTGAGATGAGCGCCGCAACCCCAGAGTCGACCACGACTGGACCTAATGGTCAGGGGTCCCTTTACCTATTTATAGCGGAACTTGTTTATTCTAATAGGAGTTCTGGTTTTTCAATATGATTTTGCAAATATTCTTTAAACACCTTCCAATTGGATTGGAAGGAAGGAAGATTTCCAATCACGTCATGCCCGCCTTCCCTCTAGTGTGATATTTCTTTGAAATTAATCACTGCCCACAATCCTCATAGGTGCTTCTACAGCAAGGATGGAGAGCCTGCGGTCCTCCAGATGTTGCAGGAGTCCAACTTTCAGCCTTGCTAATGGTCACGGATGGTGCAAATTGTAGACCAACATCTGGAGGGAAAAGGTCCCCCCTCTCTACCCCACAGGGTAGGATCATAGAATTGTAGAGCTGGAAATGACCGTGAGGATCATCTTATTCAACTCCCTGCAATACAGGAATCTTTTGCCCAATGCCAACAGCATCCTGCAAAGGTTGCCTGTAATGTAAATTTCACTGCGCTGATTTCCACTGACATGGTGCCCAGTCAGACATGTTACATAAAACAGATGCACGCAACTCATTCCGATGTCCATCTGCCCATGTTTCTGAGTGATGTCCCCATCCAACTCCCCAATTTCCCCCTCTTTGATTACGATCCAGGCCTGCTCTCATTACATAACTCTGCAGCTCCCCTTAAGAAATAAAATAAAAAATAAAGTCACGGTTTTTTTGAAATGTGACCTCTTTAAGTTGGTTTTTATGCATCAAAGCTACTTGACATTTGCCAAAACAAATTTGAGTCCCTTTGGAGGGATTTTTTATGACAAAAACACCATTGATCTGACAGCTGGCTCTCTGGGGAAGAGATATTGTAGCTGGCAGTAAAGACTTAATGCGTCTAAAGTCCTCCTTTACTAGTAGTCCCAAGGCAGGATGTCTAGGCCCCGGCAAAAGAATGGAAAGGGATTGGGGGGGGGGGGAGGGAAGGGTGGAGAGAAGAGAAAGGAAAGGAGGTGGGGGAAGGGATGGACAGGCTGGCACAGTGGCAGCTGGGAGTTTGACAGTGTTATGAAGAACTGCAACTGTTGATCAGTGAATTGTTACACTGTTGATGACAGCCTTGCAAATTAATTCTGAAATTAACTGAGGGGACTCAAAGAGGTCCCACTGTTTATCTGAAGGAAAGCAGGGCAATGTAAAAATTACCGCTGAAGCAGAAATGGAAATGGTTCCGTAGTTTTCTGCCGTGGAGCAGCAGCTGGCCAAGTGGCGGAGGAACGAGGGCTTCTGGAAATTGGCATCCACAGAAGGGAACTGGCTGGCTGGCTGGCAGAGGGGGGTGGCGAGAGAGAGAGAGAGAGAGAGGCGGAAAACAGGATATGGGTGAAGAGACAAAAAGCTCTGTGGCACCCGTGGTGTGTCAGGCTGCAGACCAAAGCTAGCTTTTGCTGTCTTCTATAAGAGTGTGAAAAGAGCGGCTCAAGATCACGCTAAAGGCCCATCTGGTCCAGCATCCTTTTGTTACAGACCCCCCAAGTATCCCTATTTTCTGGGGACAGTTCTGGATTTACAGAAGCCGTCCCGGTTTCTGATTTGATCCCGGAATGTCCCGCTTTTCCTTAGGACGTCCCTTTGTTTATCAGAGAAATGTTGGAGGGTATGTGACGCCCGAGCCAAGGAGATAAGTAACCAGACAACCTTGAGAAGACTCCTGTATAGGGGAGAATTTTAATGTTTAATGTTTTATTGTGTTTTTATATGTGTTGGAAGCTGCCCAGAGGGGCTGGATCAGCCCAGTCACATGGGCAGGGTATAAATAATAAAATTGTTGTTGTTGTTGTTGTTGTGGAATTGTTGTTGTTTAGGCGTTTAGTCGTGTCCGGCTCTCTGTGACCCCATGGACCAGAGCACGCCAGGCACTCCTGTCTTTCACTGCTTCCCACAGTTTGGTCAAACTCATGTTAGTAGCTTCGAGAACACTGTCCAACCATCTCGTCCTCTGTCGTCCCCTTCTCCTTGTGCCCTCCATCTTTCCCAACATCAGGGTCTTTTCCAGGGAGTCTTCTCTTCTCATGAGGTGGCCAAAGTATTGGAGCCTCAGCTTCAGGTTCTGTCCTTCCAGTGAGCACTCAGGGCTGATTTCCTTCAGAATGGATAGGTTTGATCTTCTTGCAGTCCATGGGACTCTCAAGAGTCTCCTCCAGCACCATAATTCAAAAACATCAATTATTTGGCAGACAGTGACATAGACCAACAATAGATGGATGGCACCCATTGGGGCTGGTTGGGTGGGAAGCAGGAAGACTAACAGTAGGTGGCCCAGAGCCCATAACAGGTGGGGCCAAACCAATTCCAGTTCTGCCCCCATGCTCCTCTCTGGTGAGTTCTACAAGGGCAAGACTGATACTTAAGAGGAGGAAGCTGATGAGCAGAGCTAACCCTGGCTTTATAGAATTAGAAGGGACCATGACGGTCACCTAGTCCAACCCCCTTCAATGCAGGCTTCTTTTGACCATTGCGGGACTTGAACCCACAGCCCTGTGATTAAGAGTCTCATGCTCTACTGACTCCTATTCCAGAAGGCCTGGAAAGAATTATATTAGTACAGCATTCAGTTTCCAGAAAGCCCCCAAACAGGTCATGAAACCAACAGTTCTCTCCCACAATAGTTCCCCCACTCAGCACACTGCCATTGAATATGGAGGCTCAACAAAGCCATGTCTTCGTCCCTCTAAAAACAAAAGCCCTGCGCCTTTCTCCCAAACTTTGCAAAATGCACACTTTGCTCCTCCTATGTGTGCCAAAGACTATGTACAGAGAAGCGCGGCTCAATCGCGCTCTACTTTTATAGTAGCCATTAGCATAGGCTTTTCCCATGGTCTGTGTACTTATTCTAAGCATGTGCTTTTTTACAATGCAGAACACAAGAGACTTGTTTTGTAAGATTAATGAAGGTCACCAATATTCTCCAAAGGATTCTGATAATTAAGGCTTTGTTTATCAAAAACAAGTTATATTAAGAGCAAAAAAGATTCATGGTAATTATTCATAATCTTAACAATTCAAGTGTAGCCACCTCATTTGTGCATTTAATTCTTCTTGTTAATGTTTTGCATAAATCTGCATAATTATTTGAGTTGCCTGTTGTAATTTTGACAGCTACTCCGTTCATGTGCACTAAAGTATATCAAAAGCTTGAGGTGCTGAATATTTATAATTTTACGTATGTTCTTGGGATAATATTTTTTCAACAATTTTTTTTTAAAAAAAAATATAAAATTGACATGGTATACATGGAGCGATTGCCAAACACAGATTTCCACCATAGAGGGTACCTGATGGGAAAATGAGGCAGCTTGTTAAATATGCACTACCAGCTTTTGGAATCATCTGATTGAAAAAATGTATAGACTTATGCACATGCGGCTTTTGTTCATACTCCTTTAGCTGCTCATACTCCATTGATAAGCATACCTGAATATATATATATATGTTACTATTTTGCATACATTCCATTCCACCACCACCAATGATTCATTTCAGCCAATCACTGCTCTCATGTACGCACAGATTCAGCAGTCAGACATGACTAGTGTCTACATGCAGGCTTCACACCAGAAGTCCACAGAAGCATTATGTAGTATCTCTTTGTAGCACAAGGAAATGGTAATTCCTTTGTATAATATAGATGCACTGCAGGACTCAAATCCAAGATGCGTTGCTGTCCCTAGAGGGGGCTCACAGCTTCGTGAGAAGATCGTGCAGGTCCTTTGTTGCTTGTGAATTGCCGCTTGCCTTCTTCTGGTGACTTTCAAACTAGTTTGTCCTGGGTACAAGCAACCTTGCGTGCTTCCTGTTAGTAGACGGCAGGGTTGAGACTAACAGATAGTTTAGGGAAAATACACATCGTGGTTTTCCACTTAACACCCTAAACTCCACCCCTTCCTCCTGCTTCTTCTCTTTCTTCTCCCGCTTTTGAGCAGGAAGATGCTATGAAAGTAGCTCTTGTCATGGAGGGTAGAATCTGAAGTCATCCTTGTGAATATGAACTAACTGTGAAGAGCCATTTCCCTTTATCGATAGGACTCCTGCGTATTATATTTTACCTTTTAAAGTAATGTTAGCGATGCATGAAAATGAGACAGAAGGGGTGATGAGTTAGGTAGTTCCAGCTTCCCAGTGTTGTTTTTTTAAACTCTGCCATGTAAAATATATAAGCTATAAGCCTAACAATTTTATTTTTAAAACCTATCAGTTTGAAGATACTAGAAGCAAGTATTTTACACCTGCTTGTCCCGGCTTTGTCACTCAGACAAAGTACTCAGACTCTCAGTTTGGGAGTTCCTGAAGATTTTATTCCAAAAGTCAAAACATGGCTCAAACATGGATCAAGATACAGGTTGCAGCAGAGTCAATAGTTCATGGCTCAGGACCGCAATACCTCAAGGACCACCTCTCCCCGTATGAATTGACCCAGACCCTGTGATCATCATGTGAGGCCCTTCCTGTGCCTCCTCCATGAGAGATCCAGGGGGTGGCAACATGAGAACAGGGCCTTTTCTACAGTGGCTCCTCATTTGTGGAATGCTCTCCCCAGGGAGGTTTGGTGGGCGCCTTCATTATACACCTTTAGGCATGAGGTGAAAGCATTCCTCTTTAACTAGGCCTTTGGCTGATTAATATTCTATGGACATTTAAATGTGCTTGTGGGAGGTTATTGCTCTGTTTTGTTTTAGCTATTTATTTTGTACTTCTATCCTGTATTTTTAGCTTGTGAACCACCCTGAGATCTTCAGATAAAGGGAGGTAGTATATAAATTTTAATAAGGAGGAGGAGGACTCTATGATACATGAGTAGGGACAGGAAAAGACGTCTCAACACCTGACGTCACCTCTTTGCATAGGTGGGCACAGTCATTCTGTTCTTATCCCAAGAGATGGGACAGGGCAAGCAAGCTGTCACTCCTCCTCAGGTGCATTTGACTGCTTGAGAACATAAGAGTCTGCTGAAACAGGCCAGTGGTCCATCTACTCCTGCATCCTGCTCTCATCGGGCCAACCAGATGCCTGCAGGAATCCCCAAAGCAGAACATGAGTACAATAGCACTCTGTCCACCTGTGATTGATAGCAGATCCGCTCCACTTCCCAGTGGGGAGGAGTTGTGGTGGACCACGTGATCACCCACTCCCCACTGGGGGCAGGGGACTTTGTCTTCCATTGCCCGGGGGATCCTGGCCACATCAGAGCCTGGCCAGCCAATCCGCTGGCCGGGTCCATTTAAGCAGAGGAGCAAGCTGGAGGGCTTCCTCTTTGGCTCACTTCCTCAATCACCCACCCTCCCTCCCTATTTTGCAGGTTTTAGGCACTGCCCTTGCTATGGACCTCGGTTGGTTGCCGTTGAGGGGCCTGGTAGGAATTTTTTCACTTGGCAAATTGCACTGGCCGTGTGGTTTTCGCCTACCTCGTAGCAATCGTCACAACTTTGTTAGGGTTGCTGTTAGGCATTGTTTGACCTTGTGGTGGGGGAGGCGAGGTGTGGCCATCACCTGCCCCTCTAAGCTTAAGGGTATCCCGTTAAAGGAATACGGGGGTGTTGATATTGTCCAAAGCCCGGGTCAGGGGCTAGGACCATGACACGACCCCGATGGGAACACCAGGGGGAGCTCGAGTTGGTGTGCATCGACAGGGCTCCCCCTTCCGGTGGTTTACCCTTACCGGACTTCCTGCACATCTGGCAGGAGTCAGATATAGTCGGGTCCATTCAATGCCTAAGCCAATACCACTCACATTCTGTAATCAATAAAGTTGTGGCCAAATTTGCCCAATAACATAAACCTAATATCCATGTCCTTGTGTGTCTTATTTCCCAATGAGGGGGTGGCTACGGGGTCTTGACATGTAACTGGTATTTGAGACATGCTGCCTCGGATACAAGATACAGTACACAGCCATCATGGCTAGTCCTCATTACTTCTGTGTCTGTGCCTGTTCCTCTTTTAAGGCCACCCAAATTGGTGGCCATCACTGCCTCTTGTGGGAATGCTACCTGACTGCCAAGCAAACTCATGTTTATCTAGAGCTCAGTGGGTCCTCCCAAAACCATGGCCTAAGCAGTTGCTTGAACGCGGTTCAGTTGTTCAGAAGCGGGAAAGTGCATGTGCCCAAGGTCACCACCCGCATCTGTCCTCATCAGCTTCTATCTTCCATGACTTTCCCGTGTTGAGTGCAAGAGGTCTGTGAGAGGCATTTACTCCTGTTCACTTGGTGTCAAAAACAGCCCCTCTACACAACGGAGGATCCCGCGGACCTTCCCTGCTCAAGACAAGAAGGTTGGGTCCTGAGCAGGTGGGGCCATCACACACAGGGACATTTGGGCCATGGCTCATGTGTGTCCACCTAACAGCGTGTCTCGTGACACTAGAGTTCAGGGGCATCCTATGGAGCTGGAAGTTTCAGGACCAAAGAAAGAACTTCTTCAGGCAACACATAATTATGGAATTCACTGACACAAGTTGCAGTGGTGGGCACCCACTTTAAGGCACATTCATGGAACTAAAGGCTATCAGTGGCTACTGTTGTGCTCAGGTCCTGTCTGTAGGATTCACATAGTCATCTGGCTGGCCACGAGAGACCAGGATGCTGGACTAGATGGGCAACCAACCTGATCCAGAAGACTCTTCTTATGTGATGCTCGAATGTCCTAAGTTGAGGGCCTACTGCAAGTTTTAACCTTGGCAACTGGGGCTCTCATATTCTCCTTGCAGGCCTTTCCTCCTTCTCCTCCCACCACGGAACCTAACCAGTGAGAAAACTCTGGAATTCTTTTGAATCGTACAGGAAGATGGGTGTGGTTTGACTTAAGAGAAATTGCTTTCACATTCCAAGAATGACAACTTATGCACTGATGTATTACTTAGATCCTGACCTGCTTCCAGGAAGATGGATGGAGTAACGGATGCAGGTTTACAGAAATAATTCAGGCAGATTTTTTATTTCACTTTCTGGTTTAAAAGGAGACAAAAAACCCAACAACCAGTCAATTGGAAAGAACGATATTACACTTCAGACCAAGAGATCAGCTGCATGTTCATTTCAGAATGAAAGGCAAATGAGACCAAATAAGCCCCATTCAGTTCAATTTACATTTTTCCTAAAACGAATGAAAAGAGAATGAATGGGATTCCCATCTGTACCTTTTTCTTCCATTTGCAGGTGAGGAGACTCACCTTTCATTGGAATGTAGGTACACAGGAAGCTGCCTTGTGCCTTTGGTCCATCTAGCTCAGAATCATAGAACCGTAGAATTCTAGCATTGGAAGGGACCCTGGGGTCATCTAGTCCAACCCCCCTGCAATGAAGGAATCTCAACTAAGGCACCCATGACATCATCTATGTTAACTGGTTTTTGGATAGGAATCTCTGCCACACCTACCTGAAGACAATGGGGGCTGAAACTGAGACCTTCTGTGTGGAAAGCAAGCTATTCCATCGCTGAGCTGGAGCCTCTCAATGCTCTACAGCTGAGTTACAGCCCTTTGCTGATGGTGGAAGGATCAGAGCACATTTGTAAGGTTGTTCCATTTG